CATTTTATTATGAATTGCCTTGCTTGAATGTGGGTTCTTCATCTAGTTGTTGAACATTTTTATATGGTAAGTAAGTTGAGCTGTCTGTGAAGTAGATGGATTTCTGGGTGGTTCTTGTTGATAACTTATATGATATTATAAAAATGTCATCCAATTTAGCTAGCTCACAATTCTATCCCCTTTCACAGTTTTGTGGTATATTAGTGCGTGAATAATATAAAAAACCCGAAAACCACGAGAAGAAAAAAAAAAAAAAAATTGATCTTTGATCCCATTCGATCGAGAGGAGATGAACGCACCACCACCAAAGACCAATGCATTGGATATTCCACTCCACACGATCGGCTTTGAAATCGATTGCCTTTCGCCTCAAAAAGTTTCAGGCCACGTTTTAATTTCTGAAAAGTGCTGTCAGGTAGTATACATTACTCCTACACTCCATATCTGTGTTCTTTCATGATATATTTAGGCAGATTACAATAGTTACAACCTTATATTTAGCTTTATCAAGTAGAAACAAGTGTAATTACTAAATTACAATATCTTTGAGGTTTGTAGTTTTTTCTTTTCCTTTCAAAGGATTAGAAACAGACTCCGTTTAGGAAAATTCATTTTCATTAATTTGGGGTTCATTTGAAACCAGCAACTTATTTTATCTCCACTTATGGCAACTGGCAGTATAAGAAGTATTTTTAACCTCGTGGCTGGCTTCATAGTTCATAGTTAGTTTGATTTCCTTTCTTTTCTTTTTCAATCGGTAATTCAGCATTACAATGTGGTAGCGTTTGCATAACAAACACAAAAGATGCACGCATTTGTAGTTTCGGAAAAAACAACTCTTGTCGTTTCATTCTTTTATCCTGTTGCTAATTAGGTCAATTATTGAGGTTATTTTTGTGCTAATATTAAACCTTTTGATACATTACTATGGCTAGAAATTAAGTCGTAAAACTGTGTGTGTGGACAGCCGTTCAAGGTACTTCATGGAGGTGTTTCGGCACTGATAGCCGAGTCACTAGCAAGCATTGGGGCCCACTTAGCTTCGGGCCTTCAGAGAGTGGCCGGCGTACACCTCAGCATCAGTCACTTAAAGAGTGCAAAATTAGGCGATTTTGTTGTTGCCGAAGCTAAGCCTGTGAACATTGGGAAAAGTATTCAGGTACATTTTTAAGCACTAATTGCAAACGGAATGGGTAAATTTGGGCTTCCATCTAATTACATTTTGGGATTTCGCATATGTTTTTTTCTTTAAAAATACCTAGCAAATCTTAAAAAAATCTTAAAAAAGTCTGAACAAATTGTAGTCTCAAATAAGTTAAATACCTCATGATTTTGTAAGACTTTTTAAAATCCCAAATAAGTACCTCAAGACTTTTAAAAGTCTAATAAAATGAATATATTAGAGTTTCTGAAATCTTAAAAGGTCTTTACAAATTGCAAATAAATACACCCCCTAATATTCGAGTGATTACATCATAAAGGGATGATATTTGTGGTTACATGTTATATGCTTTTTGTGCAACAAAATAAACGGATGAAAGACTTTTGTTGTGTTCTCTTCTTCGTTGTTTTGTCCGGGTTGTAAACAAATCAAACATTTTCGGTTTGATTCCAGGGTCGAATTCGGTATTCATGATTTGTATTCGTAAAAGTTCGAATTCTAATTCGAATTCGAATTTGAATATGCATATTTCGATTCGAAATTATCGATTATTCAATTCGTTAATAATAATTATATATAATTTAAGGTTATGTAAGATTTTATGTAAGATTTTATTTATATTATATATATAAATATATTAAATATAAATATAAAACACATAAAATGTATTTATATTTAAAAATGCATATCTAATTTATTTAAAAAATATTTTTGTATTTAAAAATATATATTATATTCACAAATGTATTTAAAAAAATGTATAAATATATGAAGTGTTTATAAATAGGTTCTGAAAATGAATACCGGATCGATTCGAATCGAATATTTTCGATTATATTAATCGAATAGAATACGAATCACAAATTGAGTTTAATAACGAATCGAATACGAATACGAATAGTCGAATACTTTCACGAATTTGAATCTAATATTTGAGTATTCACTTTGATTCGATTCGTTTACAGCCCTATGCATAATGAATATAATTTATTGTTCAATTACATTCACTTTTTGCTATGAGAGAACCACCCGAACAGCTAGTCATGTTGTAGGACAAACTTTACACATAAGTATAACTCCTACACTCTGCTAATCGCATAATTAATGGTTTTATTTAGTTGCTCTCATTAAGAGTTTGCTAATTTTGTATTCAGGTTTGGGAAGTGAACTTATCGAAGTCCGATTCTTCAAACTCTGAGACCAAAACGTTAATTTCATCATCAAGAGTTACTCTTCTTTGTAACTTGCCTGTGCCCGAGTCACTCAAGACTGCTGCTCAAGGTCTCAAAAAGTACGCGAAACTCTAAATAAGCTAAAAACTGTTTTCTTTTGTATTGCTAAAACTACTTTTGATGTAAATAAAAGACAAAAGGGAATGAAAATGAGCCCTTTGCAGCTATAGCAATTATCACAGTACCCAATTTGCAGAATCTATGTTTGGCACAATTTATTATTGCTCAGATGATTAATAAATGTAATTAATAAATGTATATTTGATGACAATTATCAGTCGATTGTTCTCTATCCATCTAGCTATATTGTAAATTAAAAAGAAAAAAAAACATTGTTTGAATGTTGAATTTTTCCAGTCGATGCAAAAAATATTTGTAATTTTTTGTGTGAATTTGAAAATTTTCCACTTAATAGTTCATTGCATTGTATATTCAGGGTTAGGAGTGGTTGCTTTAGCTTGTCTTGGCTTTAACAAAAGGACAATGAAAAAGAAAGTTGTATAATTAACCATAGTTTTTAAACTCGGCCCGGTAATCGACCCGGGCATGTCCTCGGGTCACCGAGTCAATTGCTGAACCGGATAATTAATTTTAAAATTTTTAAAATTATATATAGAGTATTTTTTTCATATAAATATACATAAAAGTAACAAAATTAAATGTTTTGTGTATAAAATTTATACATTAAAGTGTTAATAAATATGTATCTTTTGAGAAATATTTACCATATAAACATATATACATAGTTTTATTTTTTATAAAAATAAAAATAAAAAAATTAAAAAAAAAAATTGTACATGGACCGGGTCAATGCCCCGGGTCAAGACCGGGTCGGCTGGGTTTGACCGGGTCCCGGGTCGGTCCGGTCACAAAACACTGTAATTAACTTCTCCAAAAAGTAGAATTTCTGTACAAAAACACACACACCACACACTAGTCCCATTATTTTTAAAAAACAAAAAAAATAAAAAAAATAAAAAAAAAATTGTACATGGACTGGGTCAATGCCCCGGGTCAAGACCGGGTCGGCTGGACTGGGTCCCGGGTCGATCCGCCGGGTCGGTCCGGTCACAAAACACTGTAATTAACTTCTCCAAAAAGTAGAATTTCTGTACAAAAACACACACACCACACACTAGTCCCATGATTTGATAGAGATGTTCCTTTAATTTCAATAATATAGGTAAAGATAATCATGCATGGAACATCTTGTCAGTTATGAATTCCAATAATATAGGTAAAGATTAATCATGCATGAGTTACATGAATTGTTGGATTCAAAATAGAAACAAACAAACAAGATCATATATATATCATGTATTGTCAAATTTCACAACTTAATAAATTTGTGAAACACCATTGTCCATATGTAAGATGCAAGTACACATGTTTGAAGCAAACTATTTAATTAATAACTCAGACTCAATAATTTGATAGACTGAGATTATTAATTAGACGAGTTGATTAATCATACGTTTCTAACAAACATACATTAGTAACATCATAATTTCTTAGATAGATGACTTGAATTTCTTAGATAGACGACTTAACTATTATGTGAGTCGATCAATCATGCTTTTGTAACAAAAATCCATACATACCTTATAAAATTTCCTACTTTTTTTTTATATTATTTTTAAAAAGATCTGTTCAATTTGAGAGTATCCAAATAATGATGAAAAAACAGGACTACTTGACCGTTCATTTGTCTAACCTTAGTCTTATTGAGCAAAGATACCAATCATGATTTGATTGTCAATTTGAATCCAAATATATATAAAATAATAAATAAAAAAAGATAAATAAAAAAACAAAGACAAAGGAGAAAAAAAAAAAAAATGAAACTTGTTATAAAACTAGAGAGAAAGAGAGAGAATAGAGAAAATGTATTCTCTTAGGTACGATTTTCATTATAACTGAAGGTCCTATTTATAGGAAACTTCTGATGGCACAACCTGTAATAATACAAATACATCGAGGGCAAAATAGTCATTCACATACATTATTTTATTATTTCATAACACTCCCCCTTGAATGACTATTTTCTAAACATATTTTAACTAATTTATACAAAGCCCAATCTGCACATCTTCAAGTGTATCTTGTAGCCATCAGGTACCGTTGCTTCAGTATGTCAGGAAAACCCGGTGGGACAAAACCTGATCATCGTAGAATCATAATATTGTTTCCTCAGGAAAACCCGGTGGGTCAAAACCTGAGCATTGTGGAAGCATAACATTGCTCCCCCTCGAAAAGATCATCTTTAGTGGAGTATCCATGTGTGCTGCCTCGTTAAAACCTTGTCAAGAAAACCCAGTGGGAAAAAACTTGATCGAAGGAAAAAGAGTACAGCTACTCCAGTCTCTCCTATCACCGTGAGGAATCATGGCATTTATCCAGTAGTCCTCATCATACCATGAATATGCCTCGTTAAAGCCTTATTAGGAAAAATCCAGTGGGACAAAATCCTAATGAAGGAAAAAGAGTACACTATTCATGTGAATACGCCATCCTTGTTGCCTCATTAAAAACCTTGCTAGGAAAACCCAATGGGACAAAACCTCAGCCAAGGGAAAAAGAGTACAACGCGTATTTCATATATTCACCATAATAATCTTTCCATAATTTGCATGAGTATCATATAAATTCTTTCGGATTGTAGATACTGATGGTATTCACGACAATATGTCATATCATGCTTTGTGCAATTTTTATTCTTAAACTCATTCTCATCATCAATTGATTTCAATGGTCTTATTGCCAATAATTCCCAATATTCAAAATTCAGCTGATTTTATTTTCGACAATATTATTTATATAGCGCTATTCATTTGTTTATGTCGACACTTATTCATCTCCATTATTCTCCGTAGTATATTGAGATATCTCATTATCAATTGATTCCATCAATGGTTTATATATGCCTCCTTTCATCACATATTTGGGGGATTTCAATTTGCACAATATCAACGCTTCCAGCGTATTATTCCACCAACATATCATTTCATATATTTCACATCATCAGTATCATACAGTTTATGATTCGCACACTCTCAGTGTGATGCATATATCATTTCCAAATTTCAATCATTGATTCTCTCCCTCATCTTAACAGATTCCTGATCTGTATTTTTAGTATTGAATTTCTTGAGGGGAGTTCATATAGTCTCTATTTTGTTCTTGATTTCAACATATATTTGGAGGACTTTGAACTCATATCATTTGTAGTGTGCACATTTTTCTTTCAAGAGTTCATCATATCAGGTGAGTATATTACTAGCTTCATCACTTTCATATGACACTTATTTTCATTCTTTCATAATCATCTTGTGTCATCCTTAGATCAAACCATCTCGTAAATTCAGGTTACATGTCATATACACATTCTTTGATCAAATCATCTCGTAACTTCAGGTTACGAATCACACACATGTGGCTATCTAGTGGATCCATAATATCTAGTAGCACACATGGAGGGGTAGTGGGCCCATATATATCGTACCCCTTTCATACTCAGATTGATCATATATCGATTCACAAATATTTAGCTAGTAATATTTTTCACCAATCGGGAACAAGCATCTCATATCACAAAGAATAAGTTCATCATGCAAACCATCATCAATAATATCGGTAAACATTTTTAAAGTGATCACAATAATTCGTTGTGACATGTTTATCACAAACATTTCACATCATCTTTCGGCGGCAATAAATGCACTTTAAGTGTAGGCTCTGGTATAATATCTTTTAACCACTGTTTAAATCCAGAATCGTATCATGCTGTCTGACACACATACTTTTGAACACTGTTTAAGTCCAGAGTCGTATCTCATACGCATCATATTTTTCTATAAATTATCAGGTAATTCATTCAATTTTCTTTAACAAAGGTCCGAATTTACAAATGGATTTAGCACTCTCAAATATCCGTAAATATTATTCTTTTCTTCCGAAAAATATCATAAAAAGGATTTATCGATCTCGATTAGAAAGATTGAGGATGCTAATGAATAATGGTATTCCAAATGATGTTAGATGGTTGATCGAAGCACAAGTTCGATTGTCTGGAGAGTTTCCAAATTCATATAAATATATGCCAGGTATGGGTAAAAGTACTTATGCAAAGAAACGAAGAGCAAAAAGGTTAGGTGGATGCTTCAAATGCGCTCGATGGACTTGTGACACACGATGTATATCTGTGGGGTACGTGTCCAAAAATCGAGAAGATAAAATAACGTTTATAAAGGATGGATTGAGTAAGGAGTCTTTGGATCAAACGATTCAACAGATTCTTGAGACACATCCTAGTGGATACGTGCATCGTGAGCTTATGTCTTTATGGATTCAGTTCAAAAATGAAGAAGAACGTTATAGTCTCGAAAATATTATTTCAAAAGATCAAGTTTGTAAAACTGGTCTTGTTAGTATGAAAAATCATACTAATACAGTTTAGTATGTTGTACTGTAATTTTCTAGAAAAACTTATAGTTGCCGACAGATAAGATTTATTTAAAACCCAACACCTTATCTGTCAGTTGCAATTGTCAGAAGAAAATAGTAAAATTATTTATTGCTTTGTAATACTTTCTATTTAAATAGCGAGTCGTTCATCATAATCATATGCCTCACAAAGTTTTGAAAAATTCAGTTTATCAATAAATAGATGGATGTTTCAGAGTCTTCGCAAGGTAATAATTTTCTTCAACCGATCAAAACCATATGTGTTCTTGGTGGTTCTAAACTGGTAAGTTTTTCTCAAACTATTGATATTGTAAGTCAGTTAGTCAAAGAGATGGGGAATCAAAAAATCAATTTGCTGTATGGAGGGACTAGCAATACTTTTTATGATAGTCTCTTAATGGCTGGACAATGTTTTGAGATAGAAGTGAAAAGTGTCATACCTTTTCGTAGAGCTTCAACAAAGGTCGTCAAGGATTCCACAAGCATGATGTTAACTCATTCCATTTATGATTGTATGATGGATATGGTGAACAATAGCGATGCTTTTATCATTCTTCCAGGCGGGTATGGAACGCTAATGACAATGTTCACCATTGCTTTATGGGCAGAATTGAAACTTCATAACAAGCCCATAGGTCTATTGAACTTTAATAACTTCTTTCATGGTTTGCTTGGATTTTTAGACATAGGAGTATATCAAACCTTTATATCTCCTTCAATGAGAGAAGTATTCAAATCTGCTGACACGTCTGCTGAACTTATCAAAAAGCTTCAAGAATGCATCACATTTCAAGATTCTGTGGAAACACAAGGGGTCAAACGAAAAAGAGCTTTTGATCCTTTAGATCTCTCATTATGAACCCAGATATTATTCAAATATGAACCCAGATATCGTTCATGGGTGGCAGAGTTACGGAGTTTTACACTCTCGAGACGCACCCTTCTTTTATGGGTTCTATTATGTAATCTTTGCGTATTTTGTATTCATCGAGTATTTACTGCCTCTTTTCCATATTTCCACCATCTGAACATTTTGTACTTGTTTCTCAGTAATAATAATATCAATTTTGATTTTTCTCAGTGTATAGTAGTTCATGACTATAATCATTATCATTTGTGCTTCTTCCGGAGCACTTTATTGTAATATCTGTATGATCTCGTATCCCAATGTGATCTCGTCATCTGATATAGCCCCTTAGACTTATATAATATATTGAGAAATCATTTTTGTGTGATCACCCATAGCTGGTAGCTTTTGATACCACTTTCTCATTTTGTTCAATCATCCAATGGTAGCTTCTAGTACCATTTCATCACTTTGTTTAATCATAAAGTGGTAGCATCCAGTACTACTATACCATGATATCATTTAATCATTATGCCATAATTTCCGACATCACATCAATCATGTGGTAACTTATAGTACCTTCTCATCAATATTCATATTTCCATAAATTTGGAGAATTTATCAACTGATACTTCAGGACCAGGTTAGTCCATATAATGTCTGTTCATGACAAGGACTTTAATTAACTTTCACATGGTCAGATACAAAGTATCATTAATTTCACTCATTGGCTATCACTTAATTTGTACTGCCCATCGCCGGCGGCAGTGCCGCACTGGCCGACCCATGTATATGTATAGCCATTCATTTGTTGCACGTGGCGTTGCCACCTGGCCATTTTATATCACCGGTTATCATTAATATACTGACTGATCCATTTAGCCGTTCAATATTATCTGTTGCTGGTGGCTGCAACACTTGGCCATTTCATATGATCGGTCATATTTCCTTATAATATTTTTTACCAACAATTGACCCGTTGGCTACCATTAAATAATATTACCTGCCGGCGGCAGAGCCGCACTGGCCGGTTTATGTAGCCACACATATTTATTTTCATATCACATAGGTCAATCCATAAATATCCACATGTTCACGTACCAAGTAATTTTTTCAATAAAACAAAATCAAACATTTCATAAGGACAATATATATTAATATAATTTAATAAACCATATCAATATTGGTATGAAGCTTCTCAATTTAGTAGTATGAAAGTGAAATCAGTTTTCTACTTATGGAGGACTTGTATTAGCAAACAAGTATACTCGACATTCATGGGTTTTGGCCCGACACCAAGACCAATAATACACCACACTCCATAAATGTGTATTATAACATAAATTTGGGCGGTGGGCTTACCTTAATGGACCCAGATTGTTTTCATCTATTTTATGAAAATATGTAATTGCCCCCACACCCCTCAAATTGCTCTGCATTCTACAACATAATCTGACATTTAAATAATGCAACCATCAATTTACTCAATCTTGTTTATTTTATCCCTTAAATTAAAGAATTTAAAATGATCAAATATGTGGCATCAATAAATAAACAAACCCAATAAGTGATGGAGCCAAACCGACATGTGGAACCCATTTCTTGAACACTAATAAATGCCTCACATGCACAAAAGTCCAAGTAAATTTATGAAGAAAATAAACTTAGAGTTTATCAATTTCTTTGACTCAGATATATTGTGGGTAGCATAATTGAGAATATACCTGCTGAAGGGGCTTCACTTGATGCAATAGCTTCTACAAGAATACTTTACTGGGTTCCCCAGCAGCTGACACAAGCAAATCGGCTGTATGTCAACCAAGTTAGCGCCGGGCATCACCCCGTGTCGGGCCGGGTCAGGTTGCTCCCTCTCAGTCCACGAACGTCAGGCAATCCGAGAAAGCTTTACTAGGTAAGTGAAGCAGTTGAGCCCTGGCGAAATAGCCACCGCGTTAGGCAGCCCCGAAGCCAATGCTGTGTAATGAGCAGCTGTGCCTGACAGGGCCACTGCTAGGACATCGGCCACCGTCTCCTGCTTTTCTAATTTATTTTTTAACTTAATATGATTACTTATTGAGTAGAAATGCGTTGATTTTGGTGGTGCTAATGGGGACTCCGGCTAATGATCGTTATGGATTTTCAGTCCTTGCAGCACAAGTGCTTTTTCTAGCCTTCCAAAATCAAAAGCTGAACCTTTTTTATTTATGTAGGTTGTGATGAGGTACTATAATGAACATGAGAAAAAAAAAATCAAAGTTTCGGTATGAAGTTGAAGAACATAATAATTTGTAATAATTTGATTTCTGATACAGAAGATCGTCTATAAGACGCAACTGTAGAGCATATTCTCGTCATATTACATATCGAGCTCTAGAGGGCAGAGACTCGTGCTGATAACGTGTTATAAAACTAGAGAGAAAGAGAGAGAATAGAGAAAATGTATTCTCTTAGGTACGATTTTCATTATAACTGAAGGTCCTATTTATAGGAAACTTCTGATGGCACAACTTGTAATAATACAAATACATCGAGGGCAAAATAGTCATTCACATACATTATTTTATTATTTCATAACAAAACAAGAGATTTGTGTTGTTTGTTGGAAAACCAAATCCATAAACTTCCCCATATATCAATTTATATATTGTAGGCTTTGTAAGCAGCATATATGCACAACTATAAAATTTTTACAACACTCCCTTTTTAAAACCTAAAGAAAGAAATTAGCTTCAAAA